CCAACCCCCCCCCCCCCCATCAAAACTGCACACACACAGCGCAGATGCCAAGGACAATACACACGCCCATGCAGGCTGACGCAAATATGCTGGCGCTGTGCGGCAGGCGCGACCATGTGTAGCACAGCACGCCCGCCAGCGCGAGCACAAAGCCGACCGTCGCAAGCCACATGCAGAGCGAGTGACAGTGTTCGAGCAGGGCTGTGGGCGGCTTGCCGCGGCGGAAGGGCCCAACCTGCTCCAGATGAGGGTTCGTCGACCAGATGTGTACGCTGGACGAGCGCGAGTCGGATCGCTGATGCGCTTTCGCGTCCGCCTCAGGGTCGGCTACGCATGGGGGCGCATGGCTGCTCTCGATCACGTCCTCTTCGTGCTTGGCCTCTTCGATGCGGTAGCGAACGAGGAAGAATGCGGCAAGGAAAGATAGGATGGCTGCGGAAGGAGGCTGCGTCAGTACGTGCGTGTAGCGCCAACTGGTAACAGAGCCGACCTGCGAATAGGTGGACGACGAGTGCACCAGCGAGGATGGCCGTGGCGGCTTCTTGGATGCGGGTGGTGACGCCCTCGTCGGGCACGGCGAAACCCAGGAGCTGTGCCTCGGTTGCGGCAAAGAATGTAGTCTGAAGAGCACTCGCAGTCAGCTCCCATGCGAAGCTACGAGAGGAAGGTTGCAGGACGCACAATGACACTGATTAGCTGTAGACGGTCCATCCATGAGTTGACAAGATCCTTTATGATCCTTCGTTTCGTCGCCGCATCTGTCTCGTCCTGGTCGGTCTGTGTCCCTGCACGCTGCGTATAAGTGCACGGTAGCAGAAGAAGCTGCGAACGCTACGTACACCGTCTCGCATGCCCCGCGTCCCAGTCCTTCCTGTCCTCCAGATATCCGTCAGACGCAGTCCGTAGGTTCCTCCGCACGACCACACCCGGATCCAAGGCCATAACGTTGCCTGAGGCCGTCCTGCGGAGCATTTGGTGGGGTTCCTCCATCATGGTGCGGGTTTCGCGTAGAAATGGCTTGCCTGGTTGTGGGTCAAAGGTCGTCATTTGTGAGCTGGGAATCTCCATACGACGCACCTTTAAACTCTCGCGCTGATTGGGACATGTTAAGGTGGTCGTGGTCTTCCGGGGACGAGCTGTGCCAACGCGTTTAAACTCGTAGATGACGCTCGAGAGTCACTCCACGTCGCATTCGCTTCCCAGATCTCCGGTTTCGGTGGAAGCTCCAAACAAGCTCGGCATCGGTGGCGGTGTCAGCCTGCATTGAGCGAATTGAGCACGGGTGCCGCCAGAAGCATCGTCGGATCATTCACGAAACAACGATGCAACCGCTGAAGGCATGATGCCAAGTGCTAGGGGAATGCTTGCATCTTAAATTCAAACATTGGTCCAGATGGTAATGATCTTTCATATCCAGGTCGAAAGTCCATTGGGGAAGAAGAGCGGAATAGATACATTTATTTCCAAATGATTGCACATATGCTGCGGGAGCGGCTAGTACCAGCCGGCGCCTTTTTGAACCTGGCATGACTTGGCACAAAAACCGGAATGCTCGGGGGTCGGGACCGATTTGACTGTAGCTGCTTTACCGAGGTCCGCTTTACTTCAAAGATGGAATGTCATAGTACCGCTGTATGATGATCCAGTCAAGGATTCCGTACTGTCCATTGACATCGCCCTATGCCTGGCCTTGCGGGATTGTGCCTGTTCTTTTTTTCAACCCCAACTTGGGGTTTCTGTCCGGCAGGAGAAGGATCTCTGCCATCTAGCCAATTGAAACTTGATGCACCCGGTTCGAAGCCCAGCGAAAAAGGAGAAAAAGAAAAGGGATGGGGGTGTAAGAGCATGATAATGTAGGACTAGCATGCCGGATGCAAAGGCGGAGGCAAATGAACAGACCGGCAAATCCCGGTTTCTTCAAACGCGTTCAAAGTTCAGTCGTGAATTACTTATCTTGAGGCTTTCGCTCCTTCGTCTATAGTCCTGGACCCGAACATGCGGACTGCTGGGGGCAATCATGGCTCTTTGACAAACAGCTTGAGCTGTCTAGGCCGTGCTGTTACCTGCATGACTCCGATTCGGAAGCCTTCAGACCGACAGATATACGAAGACGTTGTTCATATGCGCTCTATATCACGTCCGACACACGGTACGTTATGCCAGGTCCAAATGTTATTCTAGCTAAGTATGTAACGGGGTTTTGAGTATAGAGCTAGACCCTTCGAATGTGATGTCGATGTCTGCCTCAAGTCGCTAGAAACATAGCTTCGACACCTGCACAGCGGTGCTAGATAATCGTTACAGGAACAGGCCATCATGCCAGAGTGTACATATCCAATCCCACCATTTTCACGAGGCTCGGTGTGAAGAGGTCCTGTCTGTGATTCTCCCGATATTCAAGTTCTTGTGTGTGATACACAAGAACTTGGATATCTGGGCGCATGGATAATCCGCATGCGGATATTGCGGATATTGCCGTCGGGGGGTGGTGACTAACGCGTCCTTTGGAGCCGCGTCTTCCCTCTGGATATCCTGGACCATTGAGTAATTGCGTCCAGTTGACGAGAGTCCTGCGACCCCATTGATTGAACGATGGTCCGTCAACCAATGCGTACACTGTGCTGTGTATAAACAGGCATGGTTGAGTCTCAGTGCCTGCAGCATAAAATCTACATCCTGCAATGTCGCAACTCAGGAAAATTCTCTCCAGCTTGAAGCACACCGATGTGCTACTACCCGCAGCCATCGACCTGCTGGACGCACTGGACGATGTGGCTACCCTCACTTCAGCTGCGCTTTTTCTTCACCCCGCTCTGAGCTCCGTGCTATCAATTCTCAGAACTATGGAGGTACGTGGGCTTCTCATCGAGTCCATTTTGATGTAAGCTGGATTTCCTTATCAGCAAGTCAAAGACGACAAGTGTCGCGGAGAAGCCCTTCAAAACAAGATAGATGAGTTGTGCAATCACATAGACAAGGTGAGAGCAAGCCCGGATGCAGGCACATCTGAAGACCCTTTGAATGAGGGTTTGGATGTTTTGGTGACGTACGCTGCCACCAGCAGCTGTGCAGATGCCGTCTACTGATATCATCTTGTCAGGGCCATGCAAACTATCACGAGGGAGATCAAGGAGAAGGTGATGAACCGGGGCCGCTTTTGGCGTTTTTTCCGCCATAGGAGTGTATCGGGAATGCTGGACCGGAGCATCCAGAGACTGGAAAATGCCTTACAGATGTTCAATGTACGTGTGCTTGTCATCATCATTTGTTAAACTAAGCTGCTTCCAGGTCATTGCTTTGATCGCTCTGAATGAGAAACTCGTGCAGCTGCTCCAGCGTGCTGACGAGTTAGCTCGACTTGTTTCACACCTCAGTCCAGTGCTCAATGCTCAGCATAAGACACAGGACAGGTTGCGTATGCAGGTGCACGAATGGGTCAAAAACCGACCTCGTAGAAAGAGGGGGCTGGGCTCGGTACATCTGAGATTATGTCCAAGACACTGAAGTATAAGTACAAGTCGCTTCGATGTAGCTTCAGGATCAGCAGACAAGGAGACAAGGAGAAATGCTTAGTGAGTAAGGTTATCGCTCCGCCTATAGGCCGAGACTTACTTAGTATTAGCTGGTCCACCCCTTTAACTCGCGGCGTGGACAATTACACGAATCGAGATTCAAACGAATGCGAAGCACCTCAAATGTGCAACTAGAGCTGCAACCCACAGGGCAAGCTGACTGATCCGAGGGACGGCCAGATACATGATCTATACAGACTATAATATATAGACTGAAGCTGCTTTGAGCAAGACGATTCGCGCAGCGCTCGCTCTACTGCTTTGCATATCCCGGTAGCAATTCTCATACTATTTACGCCGCCTATATCTTGTCTAATAATAGCCCACATACTTATACCGAATACAGCGTCAACGGACAAGATAATCCTGTCTAGCTGGCAGAAGTAAGTGCACAGTAAAATAAGACAATTACTGTAGTGTGTCTTTCTCATTTACTGACTGGGGTCCACCCGCCCAGACATGGCTCGCGATCGGATGATCTACCCCATTAGTTTTACTCATTCCGTTTAGACAACTGAGATCTCTCCAATATCGCTAGATTACGGACTGGGAGCGGGGCAAGCAAGCACGCCACAAGTTTTCGTAGCGTTTCACCGCAAATTCACTGTTGAGTTTTTATATTTCCGGAATATGCCGACCCCGGCCAGAGGTGCATCAGGCGACTTATAGCAGCAGTCGGCTTGCCATTACGGGCAGACCGCCTCCGCAACTCGTCATCCATCGTCCACCGGCAGCGTATGACGAGGATTTTGCCCGTGACGTAGCCCAGAAGATGGCGAGCTGAAAAACATATAAGACCCCCTCTTCCCTCTGCTTTCCCCTTCTCTCCCTCTCTCCCTTGATCTTGGTGTGCTACCCACTCTTCAAGTTCGTGTCTTCAGCAACCCAATTGACTGTCCTAGTGTGAGAAGTTCCAAATCAAGTCGTTCACTGTCTTCGTGGCGCGGATACCGACGGCGTGCTAGTCCCGACGCCGACATCCCGAGTGGGCTCGTGGTGCGTCGGTGTAGCTTTCCGTGTTTGATCGCAGTCATCGCTCGTTTCTCCCGCACATTCTTGTTGTTATTCTCGCATAGCATTGACTATACTGTATGATCGCGTAACATTGACATACGCCACACAGTAGCATAGCATTGCACGATAAGTTACTGGTCCCTGTTTTCTGTCTCATCCCATAGCAAGCGGAGTAAGCTTACACCGACGAGGATATGTAGCATGACAGAACAATAACCTTCGACACGTCCCGGGTACGCACTCATGGATCTTCAAATAATGCCAAAGGCCTTCGTCAAGTTGACAAAATTGGAACTCTCCATACGCGGTATTGTTCATCCTGGACAACTTGGTATGGAAGTAATTTAATGTCCTACGACGTCGACGAACCAAACCTGCTGGGAACGTCACAGTAGGGAAGTTCAAAGTTGACGCAGCTGGGCTCGCAGAAAGTTCTG